TCGGCAGTAACAAGAAAATGAAGACGAGACAAAATGGACTGGAAAAGAGCCGAGAAAAAACTGAGGAACGGAGCGAAGCAATTCCGTCGAGAGGAGGAGGGGGGACCTGGCGAAGTGGCAAACTGTTGCATAATTGGAAAATAGGGAGTGAAAAAGAAGGGAGGTTCGAGCGAGACTGAGAAATGTGACTGTTTAAAATTATTATCAGGAGCGACGACGGAAGAAATTAGATCTCTAATGAGAAAAGGGGAGCCCGAGGATTTTCGTGTTGGTTTTTTCCTTGCTTCCTCTTTTCTTTCTCCAACGATCCGATCCGACGCTCCGTGAACCTCGTCTTGTTACGCGCGTAGCTTGGTGGTTCAGTAACATGAAAACATTGAGAGCTAATCTAAATCTACGGTTAAAATGAGGATTCACTTCCTCATTTGAAAGAAATTATTTTTAAGTGACATTACACGATGACAATTGGATTACATTTTGCAATGAGAAACCACTACACCTGCTCTCCCAAAAAAGCACACATCTACATTGGGAAATTAATGGCATGTATGTTGTTTCTAAAATGGGCCAGAAATAGTGGTTCTTTATTGCAAAATGTAATCCAATTTTAGGAAACTAATTAGCAGTAAAATAGATTCACTTCTTTAAAAATTTATTTTACGCTGAGTTATGGGAAAATGAGGCAAGGAACAAAAGAAGATTACGAGTCATTGCATACAAAGATAAAAAATTAAATTCAAGGGGGTGGGAAAAGTAACATTTTTTTTCTCTCTAATAATATTCATCAAATCAAGTGAAATCAGTATAATTTGCCCCCGTCATTTATTCTGTTGAGCTTGAAAGAAACGTCGAAGATGCTTGAACGAATTACTGTGAATGAAATGATCGTTCCCAAAAGAAGATACAAATATTGAAATCAATTGATAGATTAAATTCAACTGTGAATGAAAGTCTATGGGGGAAATTAAGGTTCCAAAAATATGCAGAGAACATGGTTTTTATGGGTATAATTCTGGCAACGGATGATCATTCACAAGACGTTTTCCCTCGATATGGCAATTTTTGTTGAAAATTTCTTCCTACCGAAATTGCTCATCGGTTAATGAAAATATATCCAAAATATATTATTTCAGGTATAATTTAAACATGTTTGGCCTTTAAACTGGTAAGATGCACGTGAAAGTATGTAATGTATGCGAGCTAACCTACCACCATCCGAGCTACAGCGCTTCAGGTGACACAGTTCATTTTAGCCAGTCATCACACTATTCTTTTAGATTATGCAAAATTAATCAATGTTCAGAGCAAAAAGTGCGAAATCGATTTCGACGGTGCCACTTTAAGAGGTTCTGGGGTAAGGAACGCTCTAAGTTACCACAGCAGGTAAAAGGGAAAATTTTCTCCTACACCACAAAAATCCACAAAATGGAGGGACAAAATCATGACTGTAAAGCTTTGTGACCCTCTACAATTTACTGTCACAGTTCGTTCTGTGATTCTACTGAGGTCATTTCCATGATTTTTGCGGCTATACACAGACGATAGTCCGTGGATGAGCCCGCTCTATTCAGATTTTGAGAATATGAACTTGGTCTCGTTATATTACGTGGTAACATCGTTAATTCTTTCAATTTTAAAAAAAAACCGTAAATTTTTACTCGTATTTTTCGTCACAGTCCGTTCTAAAAAGCCATCGATCCGATTTCCGTGATTCATGTGCCTATCTACAGGAAATAGTCCCTATTGTATATAAGAAGCCGCTCTACACTGATTTTACGAGGCCAATCTTAGAGGGCGGTTTGCGTTCTCCAGTGGGCTGATTAATGAAATTGATAGACAAAGAAGACAAAAGGGATATTGAGGGATCCTATTGGTGGAGACTTGTGGTTGCAGTGGACAAAGGAGGGCGGTAATAGACTAACTAACGGCAACCCACGAGAGACCCTACAGTTAGTCCAAAATTTTCTCCCTTCTCTATAGGAACCACCCATTTCAACCAATAGGATCGCTCCATACCCTCTATGTATTCTTTGTCTAACGCTTTGTCTATCAGTTTCAATAATCAGCCTGCAGAGTTTAGGCCACGTGGCGGCGGCGGCGGGGGGGGGGGGGGGCTGCCTCAAGTCAAACATGAAACAATAAATTTCCTTGGAACAGATAAATTTGCCAAAAGAGGAGATGTTACGGAGAATATTGACATTGCGAGGAGTTATCAAACCTACTGAAGATTGAGAAGTTGAGGGGGCGAGGATCGGTTACTGCTCTATGACTCGGCGCGGAATATTGGAATTCACCTTTCATCCCGCTCCTCGCTACGCACGTACGAATCGAGAATAGAGATGACTTGACCCCGAGAAAATGTCTCACGAAACGTTGCCGAACATCCAAACGTCGTTCTCACGCGGGAAAAATTCGGGCTATAAATTAAACATCAATGGTTCTCCTAACCCGTAGACAGTATATTTCAAAAATACTGCACAGTTGACACCCCTTTCGTGGCAATTAGTTCAGTCTCGAGTCCCTATATCCTAAGAGTAAAGACGATGCGAATCCATTTCTGATTGGTTCCCTTATTTTAGGCCTTTATAGTATCACAAACGGGAATAAAGATTACATTTTTACCCCAACGTATCATGATTGATGCCATCTTTAAGATCGTGTTAATAAAGAAAATAATGTTTTCTTAAAGGAGAAAAGATGCTTTTATAAAAAGGAAGTCACTTACATCAAGCAGAAACCAGCTTTTATTTACCTATTATATTCTTGATTCAAAATAAAATCTTCTTGACGGCATACTCAAGAATGTTCCTTCATCTATCTTATCTCGACTTATTTTGCAAGAAAAGTTCCGTACTCTTAAAAGATGCCTGTCATTCTTATTGTTGGTATGTTGGAGTGCCTTCAATTTGGTATAATGCTGTACAACACCTCTTTTGTGGGATAGTGAAGCGCCGTGGCACGTGACACGCTGCGGCGCGCGGCGCGGCCAGCCAGCCAGCACGGAACGCGCATTGGCGCCTACAAACCTAAGCAGATACTTCACGCATTGCGCAATGCGTGAAGTATCTGCTTAGGTTTGTAGGCGCCAGTGCGCGTTTCGTGCTGGCAGCACGTCGTCGCATCACTCCGCTTTATGCTGGGGCCTATTATTTAAATTAGCGGAGTCAGCGTTTTTCAACTCATGATTTTTATATGTTTGCACACTCTGCATGGATTACTTTAAATTAAATTGATAAAAAAAATATATTTATGAAAGGAAAATTTAATGTGTGTTTTGTAAATATTCAGGCGTTTCCTTGTCGTATTTAATGATTTTCAATGCACATTAATTTTTTCTTTTATATTTTGTACTTTTACTGTGCTTGCGTGGGGGCAACCAAACGCTCAAAATAAGACATATTTGACTCTGAAAGATCGATGTACAGATGGGCTAAAACCGAAGATTGCGTGCTTCTCGGTTTTTCCCTCTTTTATTCATTTGTGCATAGTTTCTTTCGACACAACTATTGCTCATTGACTTTAATATCGATGCCATCGCTTGGAAAAGGTTTTACAAATATTTGCCACGTTTTAAAAATGTAAATGTTTTTAAAATAAAGTAATATTTTCATTTAAAAAAAAGTATTTATAAGGTTTATTTTTCATCGAAAATTTTAAGGATGGAAATAAAACCAAATATTCGCCCATGACAATTTAAAAAGATTGATCAAAAGAAGGAAATAACATTTCATTTAAAAAATGAGTTACCACAACAACTCTTCCGTCTCTCTTAATTTTCTCATTTCATTATTGTCAATATAATTTTACATACATACATATAAGTCGCTTTACAGCACTTTCTCGCGCTCTACGACTCCTAACCTCCACTGCTCTCTTTCAAACCACAAATCTTGGGGGATTGAGCACCTTAACATTTCCGCTTCAATCCCTTCCCTCCAACCTTTCATTGGGCGCCCTCTGCGTCTTCTCCCAGGAGGAACCCAGTCAAGGACCTTCTTCGGCAACCTGTCTCCTGCCATTCTCTGGACATGACCATACCAGATGAGTTGTTTCGTCATAATGTCATGCACGATGGTCTGCTTGGCATCCATGATTTCCCGTACCGTCTCATTCCTGACGCGATCCTTTCTGGAAATACCAGCGGATCTACGCCAGAAGTCCATCTCCGTTGCCTCTAAAACCTCCCGGGTCCGCTGTTTCATCGGCCATACTTCACACCCGTAGGTTACTATGCTCTTGACAATCGCGTTGTAGATCCTTCTTTTGTTCTCTTTGGAGATCCTTTGATCCCAAAGGACTCCATTTAACATAGCGATTGCCCTCCTACCCTGCATATTCCTCTTCTTGATGGCCTGGTCCAATCTTCCATCCTGGGTTAGAAACACTCCCAGATATTTGTAAATATCGCAGCTTCCAATTTGCCGCCCATCCTCTAATTCTATACTTTGCTGATTCCCGCCAACGGTCAACTTTTCGGTTTTGCTGACATTCACCTCGAGGCCCCATTTCCGATACTCAGCCACCAACTTTCGAGTCATGTACTCAGCATCATCCTGATCTTGGGCGATAAGTACTTGGTCATCAGCAAAGCATAACGTGTATAGAGTTTCTTCATCATTCAGAGGGACACCCATTCCGGAACATTTTTTCTTCCATTCACGCAGTACATGTTCTAAGTATATTTTAAACAAGGTGGGGGACAGGATACACCCTTGCTTTAGCCCCTTTGTTACATAAAAACCCCCCGACAAGCCATAATTTTACATACGGACTAAAATATGACACTTGGACCAAGTCACTGTTGCTTATTTCACGCGTGGGCGTAAACTACTGGACAAAACAGGTGCACGGACAAAAAATCGTTGACGAAATGCCCTGAAACCAAGTAGGTAAGACCTGGAATCCACTCTAAGTATTGTAAGAGCAATGATTCTCTTTTGTCCATCAAGAGAATCTCTCCTTTTTTCTGATGACAATGGAACCATCATTAAATAACTCACTTGTTGTTGACCTCATCTTTGTGCTCAAACGTGACAAGCTGCTGGCCAAGGCCCTGGTTGGAGTGCACGATATCTGGGTCGGCGATCATCTGGAAAAAAAGGATACTCGTCATTAAAATAAGCTCGTTTTCTACCAAAATTTTATTTAGTCATTGTTGTAACCAGAGATTCACCGCGCTGCGCTGGTTTGGCTGACGGTAGTGATTATTTTACAGATGAGTCACTTACCTTTAAATATTCAATCGATCGCTTACCTTTGTTGGGAAGGATATTTTCAGACGCCAAGCTTAATCACAGTTTTTTCAGCAATGCACGTTCATGATTTGATATTTCTTGGTCTCATTTATGGTCTAATACTGGTCTAAAGATGCCATGGGAGATTTTGGCAAAAAATGCGGCTTTTCGGGTATTTGATCGTAATCTCCCACTTGTCGCCAAAACTGGCCTTCAGATCCATGTTCAGGCCAATGTCGCCAAAGTCTTCAGCGTCTTAAAATCTTAGTGGAACCATTAGTTATATTTGATTATTTCATGTTAAAAACAAATTTGTAAAGACTAGAGCAGTCTAGAAATGTGTATGCGATTTGGTCAATTGTTAATTTACAATAAGAAAAATAATAAAAAAAACCGTTTAGGCCAAAAGTAGGCCTAAAAAGAGACAGAGAATGACCAAATCATGATGCATTCCGAGAAAAGATACCCTTGATGAGCAAATATTTGTCAAGTGAGGAAATTTAGTTGGGGCGGGCCAAAAAACGGATTTCATTGACGTCCCTCCTTTAAAGTTGTTTTTCGGAAGTTAATATCTATTGAAAAAATCCGGAGACATTCACAAAAACACAAAGACGGATCCAGACACTTGGATCGCGGGGGGCGAGAGGAGGGTGCGCCCCCTACGCTCTCCCCCTCTTGGATACGCCTATGCAAAAACACTTCCTTCTTTTCAAAAATGAAACTATCAAAAATCATTGAATAATCTTGTTAGGGACTGCTAGTTAATCGGTATTCTACCAAACTGTTAATCTTGACTTCAAGATAAGTCTTCATTCACTCGCACAATACTTTCTATGAAAAGTGCTGACTTTTAGACAGTATCATTATACTCAAGATCTCAAATGTCAAGGCTGTCGGTGCATAAAGCTCCAAGCGTGATCGATTCGCAGGTCATCAAGGCTAGCGTTGACACGAATCTCATAACGCTCGACGCTCTTATACAGAGGAGACGTTCAATACTGAAAAATGAGGGTTCTACGAGCTTTGACCTTGGCCTTCTCATTCACTATTTTATAATAATAAACAATCAAAAACGTAAATTTTGATCACTTTATCCATGACCAATTAAGGACCATGCGTAATAAAAAAGTACATTACGCATACAGAGTTTATCTTGAGGTCATGCACAACTTTCCGAATAATGAAAGACTGAGAGTTATGTTGTCGGAATTCGTATATATTCAACGGAGTGCGGGCAAGTGGGATGTTTTAAAGTGTCAAAAGTCATCATTTTCAACCAACTTTTTTCTCCACTCGACAAAACGATTGGAATTTTCACCCATAGCAACGCAGCTTGTTGAATTTTTTGCGGATGAATCAGAAATTTTTCAGATTCTTCAGAAAACGCATAATTTAATAAATTCGCATCCCTGTAAGTCCTTGGAGCTTTACGTAGGAGGAATGTAGACAACTGAGATTAAATCTTTTCGTAACACATTTTTCCCTCGTTGTTTGCTTTTACGCAAAGGCGGATCCAAAGGAATGGCACGCCCCCCCCCTCCCCCTCACCGGTTGGCCGGTGCGGAGAGAATGAGGAAGGAAAGGAGAAAAAAGAATAAGAGAAACAACGGATGAACACTTATATTTTGTGATTATTCATAGCGGAAACTCAAGCTGCATTTAAGATGCTTTAAAAATTTCGAAAATGTCCTCAAATACCTCCGACGAGACAATCCCATGCGAATGGTTGAAGCCCAATTGGACGTATTTCTATCAAACGGAACTATGTGCATTATGACATGAGCCCTGTTCTGCACATATTCTTATGGGTTTCAGGGCTCATGTCCCAATGCACATAGTTCCGTTTGGCAGAAATACGTCCAATTATCTCGTTGTCCTCCTGTAAGAAACAGCCCCGCGAGCCTCGGGTAACTGGTGCTTGCGACTTTCCAGGTTGGCTAACCGGGAATCGAACCGGAAACATACTGATCATATAGCCCGCGTTACAATCACCTAACCACAGAGGCTGGGGAGAGAGTATGGACATGTCAAAATATGGAGTTCTTGGGGCCCTACAGCGAAGCCAACCCTCTAACCACTGGAACGATGCTGCTCCCAATCTTCAGAATCCAATAACAAACCAATATGGCCAAGTATGTTTATAAATAAGCGTCCTTGTGTAAAAACGAGTAAATTTAAGTCGAATACGTGCTTCACAAACGAAGGGTCATAACAGTTGTAATAATGAATAATTCTGGATGATTAGATTTTATACGTTGGCTGCTCTTGAGGGCTCTGAAAGCTAACCTCAAAATCACCGGCATGTCCGTATTCTACTCTCCCCGTATAGGCACTCTACAGGAGGCCGACAAGGTTGGGAAAACAGGGAGCTCTTGGGGGAGATAGGACGGATTGGTGAAAGAGGAGTTGTGAGGGAGGAGGAGTACAGAGCGAGGGAGGTATGATCAAGGAGGGATTGCCGCAATGATCCACCTCAGGGAGTGAAGCGTCTTTGAGGAGAGCGAGCGAGGCGGCATCATTTCGGGGTCTCAATACATCAAAAGATTACGCAAATCTCTCATTGTGAGGTGTCCAAAGGATGCGTCAGAATCGTGACGCTATCATAAATCCTGCGCCATTTATACGCTCGCGGATTTTTCCGCGAGCAGGGCAGGAAGTTCTTATCCTCTCGCTCTGCGACCCTGGGCTGGGAGCGGTGTATTCACTATTCGGGGCGTTGTCGCTCCCTCCCCGGACCCCCCTAAAAGCTTCAAACATCAAGCGGAGAGAGATACTTAACTTTATCTTTGAATGTTTCTCGGGATAATAACATATTGAGCACATTGATCTCGAGGCACATTGTGTCGAGTGTCGGTTCAAGGGGGGAGGGGGGAGGAAAGTGGGGGGGGGGCGGGAGAAAATCAAACTCCGTGGCTCGTCGGGTCGCAGTTTTGTCGACTCTTCGAATGATTTACTATCTGTGTCACCGCGGCGAGCCCTCAAACCTCCGGCCTAGATTTATTCCGCAGATCACGGCGGATGTTACACGCTGTGCCAATATCAACTGTCAAGCACTCGGGTCAATAACTTGCAAAGTTCACAGGTTACGTGTTCGCATGAACATCGCACAGTGGCGATCCTTCAAAAATGCACCACTGCGTTTCTTCCGTTTAAACACATGTAAAACAATCGACTCTAGGCGAGGCAGCCCGTCTCGCTTAGACTCGATATATTCAATGGCTTTGAAGGGCGTATTAACCGTGTTGCCAACTTGTTGGAAGCGCCACAAAGCAAGCGGAAATGCCAGGCCGAGAATGTGTTTTGATATTATACATTTTTTGTGATACTCAACGCTTTGTCATGAAGTTAGTTTAGTTGCCTGTCCAATCTCAACCCAACTAATGTCACAGAGTTCACTCCACGTTCTTCTAAGTGTGTATATTCCTGTCATGTTTTTAAGAATGGAAAAGTGTCCATTCACATTATTGGCAACATAATCAGCACTCTAATCTTGTTCTTTTTTTTTGAATTTTATGATTTTCTATATTTATCCACCACTAGCTTGTAAATTGCCGGCGATTGCTAATTGCCTGCGACATGTATAAATGAGCGCCCTGCCGTAAAAATAAATGAATATATGCAAAAATTGAGTCAAATACACGCTTTACAAACGACGAGTCGCAACAATTCTAATGATAAATAATTCTGTATAATTTGATTTCACGCGTTGGCTGCACTTTTTGGCTCCAAAATCTCCACGATCTGGCTTCAAAATTACCGATTTATCCATAGTCTCTCCATATAGGCTCCCTATTCTGCCATGCTAAGGAAGTACGCCGTAAGAATATTCGAGAGTTGCCAAATTTCCCCGGATAAAACACGTATTTTTAAGGAGAGTTAAGCAGATTTTTCCTTAAAATTTTCAGATGTTTTAGATTAAGTTGCGGACAAAATTGTCTGAAAAATTAGAAGAAAAACAATAACAACTTTTCCAATAAATTCAAATTTAATCGAATCAAATTTGGCAACTCCTGACGGTGCACACGGCGTTCTTCCTTAGCAAGGCAGTGTTTCCGTGTAAACATAGAAACTTTCCCTTGGCGGGTGCGCCGGGCGAAAGGCGCGGTGAATTTGGCAACACCGCCGCGGAGAGTGGTGGAGCAGACCGCAAACGCCGATATCTGGAGTTGGAAGCTCCAACTTCCGGGCAGGGCTTTTGTCAATGGTGGGACAACTTAGAACAAGATCCCACGGCGATAAGTGCGATGAGCGCACTTCCTCGGTGCAGTCGAACAGCTGGCGAGAAAATTGCATCCGACGCCACGCCCGCGACGCCGGCATCTCCAAACACGTAACGACGCCACGTTAGGATGAGCATTAAATTCGGGTGGAACACGTCCTTAACAATGTGATCAAACTTCATCCCGATCCTCGCAGCCATCCCTTTTACGTTCATAAAACGCACAGCTTCCTTTCCGGCACGTAAAAGGTGATTCAGTACCGAGAATGAGTCTAAAGATTCCTGGAGTTGTTTCTTGGGGTCGTGTTGCTAGCCGTCCGTTTAACAGCTCTTTTTCTTGGGGGTTCCGTAAGGTTAATTTGCATTGTGATTAAGGAGATCTTTAACATAGCACTATTTAACGAACGCAATTCGAAAGGATCTTGAGTAATATCGTTCATACCCTTTAAGTCCGTGAAACATATCGACGGTAAAACTACCGGACCACGTATCACGGTTTACGACGTTGCTGACTTCCTGTCATAATTTACTTTTGAAATTGAAAATTGCTTAACGTCAACTTCTTGAAAACTTCGTGATATTTCTTCTCTGTACGGGGCGAACTCGATGAAGACTGCAAGGAATGATATTACTCGAGGATTTGTTTAGTTGTCAATTTTAGTCCTGACAGGTTTTTGTTTTTTGGGGAATCAGCCGGTGGTTATGCGACAGGATTTTTTTTCTCGATCGCATGGTAAAAAATCCATGCTTAAGAAACCACTGGCTGTATCCTTGAAAGAATAGACCTTCTGTGGTTGAAATTTCACCGAATACCTGGTTGCTATGGATGGGTATTCACATGAAGATCAGCAACCTGATTGTTGAAACTTTAACTGGCTATGTCAGTAAGTTACGGCAAGACATAGCCCAGAGCCTAATCTTAACCGTGTAATATATCGATTTGCGATTATTGTCGTACTGCCATAAATTTCAACAATCAGACTGCTGAGGAGGTAACGCGAGACCGCACACTAGCGGTGCGACTGCGCTCCATGACTCAAAACTGCTCGATCGGATATCCAGGGTGATAAGCCTGTGTCAGTGTCACACTATCAAAGCTAGCCATCAAAATATCAAAGTCAGGTGTTGTGATTGGCTATTCGATGACTTGGACCAATCACAGTGCTTGACCTTGACATTTTGATGGAGTATTTTGATGGTGTGACACAGGTTATACGGCAAAAATGATTATCTTGGTTGCGGTGTTTCGGAATCTCTGCTCCTCTTTTATTTTTTGAAAGGAGACTGAACTAACATCGTGACTTGAAATTTTTACAGGATATTCTTCATGAAGAGAAGAAAAATCAGTGAAATTTTAAAAAAAATGACGTTTGGTAGTTTTCCATGTAGAAAATAAAGTATGACAAGAAGTCTGGAACGCCGTAAACCGAGATATGCGTTTCTGCAGTTTCACCATCGATATGCGGCCCCGCTTGATTAAGAAACACGCGTTTTTTGGCAACTAAAAATGCGCCTTTATGACAATTTCGTAGTATGGACGGCAGATGAAAACAAATTGAGACCAAACTTGGCTTCAGGAGCAAACATTAAGTAGATGTAGCCTCGTTAGACATTTGCATTATAAAATTTTCCCTTCCTTGCAGATGCAACTCAGACGGACCAGTTTCACATGAAGCAGACTATTCCGTCGTTTCCAATGACAACCGCTCAAAAGTAGGATCTCAGAACTGAACTTTCCTCGAAATGAGAGGCTTCTGCTTGGAGGCTTCTTGCGAGGTAACTTCGTGTCAGGTTTTCTAGTCGTCATGCTTGTCACGGGAACCACTTAGCGTAAATTAGGATTCTTCATGAATGTCAAATTAGCATCAGGGTGCCTTTGCTGGTGACGTAATTGGTCGAAAGTGAGTTAACTGACTCACTCAGCGGCGTGACTCAGCGGCTCAGCGCGGTGTAATGTTCCTAGCTAAACGGTTTCGACTTTTAATTTCCAAGAAGAATCAGACCAAGAAGATGGATTTGTCATCACTTATAAGCGAGACTGATTTTCGTAGAAATCTGAGTTTAGACAAAGAAAATAATGTGGGAAAGTCATTATAAAAATTCTACTACATTTTTCATGGAGATGTTGCATGTGTGAGGAACTTGCGATTTGACTATTGATTCTCATGTAAAAGTTCGCGAGAAATACGATGGTGCCACTGGTTTTCTCTGAAATCAACTCCCAAGCTCAAAAAAGCTCTCAAGTTGAGGCCAAAATGGAAGAGATAACCCACGCTATCCTGAGAGTCCACCTCTACATCAAGACAAACTCTCCATGCAAAGATAGGGAACAAATACATTGACAGGGCTGCCTTTTTATTCGGGGACTCTAAGACTGAGAACTTGGCATCCCTTCTAGTGTATTTGCTCACTATCTTTGCATTGTTTTGATGTAGAGGTGGACTCTCAGGATAGCGTGGGTTATCTCCTCCATTTTGGCCTCAACTTGAGAGCTTTTTTTGAGCTTGAGAGCAACATGTCACAATGCACACTACGTCACTGATTCCTGTTCCGGGCGCTTGGCTTTCCTGGAGAATTTACATCCTTTTTCTGATGCAAAAATGGATCCACAATCGGGGATTATTAGGTTTGAGTCGGCTTTCAACGTGCCACACTGCGGCGGGCAAAACACGGGTAAACTTCCGTTGCCGGACCGAAGGGAGCATCTGTGAACGGACGATTCATGCAAGTTCCATGAATTTTCTACCGATAATTCGGCATCCATGCTAATAAGAGGTTTGCCTCCCTTTACAGAGCTTTTGAAGTGCATCCAGAAGTTTATAACAATATTAGATGTGTTATTAGCTCCAGGCTGATATCATTAATTGGAGCGAGTCACATCAAAAACCGCAGATTTTACCTACTTCCGCACGAGATTTTCAGGTGAGTGAAATTTCGGTATTGACGTTTCGGAAAGCAGGTCACGGGAGTAAACGATAGAGCATTCGATTAGGAACGTTCTTTCACTCATCGCGAAAACGAAAGCTGAGAAAAACCAGTGGAACCTAATCAAAACCAGAGCTCCTTCGAGTTCGGCTCATGCGTTACGCACATCCATCGAGCACGAATAGTCGCATCCTGGTACCCTGATCAACGGTGGTGAGGTGTGGATGATCGATAATCGCTATTTCCCCATTTGAAGCTATAGTAAGAATCGATTATTAAGGTGTTCATTGCGAACATCCTGTCTATCGATCCTTTTCCATAGGTTTGAATGGCAGATCAATCAATATATCATCACCAGTGGCGAGGCGTGAATGATCGATTCATCGCTGTTTCCCCGTGTGAGGCTATCGTAAAGAATCGATTATTAAGGTGTTCGTCGTGAACACCCTGTATATCGATCCTTTTCCATAGGTTTAAATGACAGATCAATAGATCTGCAAAGCACGCGCCAGGCCGCGCCGCTGGTGATCAATAACGACGTCGATTTCCGCTGAATCATATGCCTTGTTATTAATCTAGAAAAACAAATGCAGTGAGGTGCCTTGTTCTATTAGGCTTCATATACAGGGCCGAACAAGCACGTAGCAGGCTTGGGAAAAACTTAAAACTTACGGATGAGACAGGAAATATGAGATAGATGGCGGTTGCCTTAAATCTTAAGCTTGAGCAAAAGCGCCCTGTCAGAGCGCAACGCACGGAGCAGCGCCGACTCGACACCACTTCTTTATTAGCCGTCGTGAGTAAACGGTTGGCATGAATCGCCTTCAAACCGTCGGTTATGCAGTATGCACCACTCAAGAGTTAAAATAGTTATCTCACAAGCGCCGTGCTCCAAACACCGATTCTGCGTTGATTAAACGACTTGATCCATTTTCTTGACACGCATTATGTGTATTCTTATGCTATTTCCTTAAACCGTAAAGTTTCTAGCAGATTTAACAGTGCATAATCACAATGATATCGAATAATCGTCAAGAGTAACCTGGAACAAGCTGTGCGCCTGAGTTTTCTTGTGTAATCGTCATGATCGAGTCCTTCTACACAACACACACACATCCTCACACACCCTGCTTCACCCCCTCCAAAGTCTTGAGGACTGATAAGATTTTCAAAATTTATTACCTTGTTTTACAACTTTACTTCTCAAGAATTTGCAAGCACAAGTGTGATGCTGCTATCACAAAATACCTCGAAAATTTTAAAAATTTGACTCCTAGCAAAGTTCATTTCAGGATAAGTTTCGAAAATCGGGAGGTAAGTTTTCAATGCAAGATTGAGACATAAAAGTGAGGTATACTTATTTTAAGACGTTAAATGATTCTTGGCTGAATAATTGTGTGAGAAACAACTGCGGGAAAAGTTTTTATTTTTAAATGATTAAATATTTACGAAGGAAACTCATAGAGTAAAATTGTTTTATTCTTTCATGTAAGATGAAGTAAGTTTGGGTCGAAATGTCTCTGAGAAGAAAGGGTAATAAGACATGGTACTTACTCATCGTAGGAAATAGTTTGCGTTGCTTGGCCAGCCACCACGGGGCCTGCAAGAAAACAAAACGAAAATTAGTCAGATATTCTAGTGTAACATGATTTACAAGTTTTCAGCTCGTGAATGATTAACATACTTGTGATTTCTGAAATCAGCACGTATCAAGTGCACTTAATTTGTGTCCTTTTCCCAGCTAATAGAATTTTCATTGCCCTGAAGACAATAACATAAAAAATGAGTCAAAGGATAAAAGAAGAAATAAACAGTGCCTACACCAGAATACGAATGTATAATAATGTTCCTTCCGAAAGGAATTCTGGATATTCTGGAATTCTTGATATTAAGTATTCTAATGAAAATTAATATTTTCTTTCCATAAAAAAGGTACCTCTTTCGTGATCTGTGCAGGGGCAATTACATCAAGATGTCCCAGGAATGCAGCGCAACTTCATATTTTCTTTACATGAATAATTTAGCGAGTTTCCAAAATAAATTATACGTCGAGACAAATAGTTACTTAGTTAATTTAGTACGACGATCTGTAACTATGGTTATTTACTTGGGGGCCCAGGAAGAAGAAACGTTAAATTTTGACAGAGAAACAACTTAAAACGGGACTAGGGCCGCAAATAACAAAAAGAAACACGTAAAATAAAATAAGAAACCCGGGACGTTTCGCAGGGATCACACCCGCATTTTCAACCGGTATAACAAGAAAAATTAAAAGAAAGGACACTATGAGCCTCACCGTTGTAATTGTGAGACAACGTCTCACAAAGTCAACAAAGTCAAAGTCTCACAATAACAACGGTGAGGCTCGTAGTGTCCTTTCTTTTAATTTTTCTTGTTTTGCCGGTTGAAAATGCGGTTCTTATTTTATTTTATGTGTTTCTTTTTATTATTTGCGGCCTTAGTCTCGTTTTAAGTTGTTTCTCTGTTAATGTTTCGGGCCGATTCAGTTGTTTTTTCTATTAAATTTTGAGAAAGTTGATTCAATATCTGTTTTAAAATATATTTCAAATTTCGAGTAATTACTGTCCTCTCTGCTTCTTGTGTTAAAGAAGATGTCTCACGTGATGTTAGCAGTATATCAATGGACTATGTAGCCTCGTGAAAAATACCGTCGGAAATGCATTCTTGTGCAAGTGGCGTGGCAATCGTGGCATGCTTTGCGATATCGATTGGTCTATGATTTAAGCTTGAAAAAAGGGTGTTAGCAACGAACTTTTTAACAATCGATTCTTTAACACAGTTTTAAATGGGAGAAATATCAATAATCGATCATTAACGCCTCGCCACTGTACTTGTACCGCCAGGGCGCAATGCCCAACGCAACACCAACGCAACACCAACGCAAACGATTTCTTCTCTATTCACCATGAATGCGATTGGCACAAGTTGCCTTCAAACCGTTAGGTATGCACTTTGCATCACACAGGAGTTAAAATGGTTATCTCACGAGCGCCGTGCTCTAAAAACCAAGTCTGCGTTAATGAAACGTCTCGTTCTTCTTCTGCACCCACAATAACAACGCACATCATGCATTTTGTTATAGTTCAAATGAAATAGCCACCTTTTTCAATAATTTAAAATAATTTCCATTATCTGAGTTTTAAAATACATTTAACAACGACAAATGGATTACAAAATTTAAATTAAGCAATTCAATTATGATCTCATCTTCAGTGGTTTGATGGATGTTCTTATAAAGTTGTTTTAACCTTTACGTTTGAGAGTAGAGTAGGGACAAAAGGGACTCAATGAGCCGTTGATGCGATCATTTTTCCTCCGGAAAATTGAAGGCGGCTGCCTCGGTCACTTTTCAGTTTATAAACTTTGGACTTGGCGGCTGACTTTAACTAATGAAACTTGTGAACTAAGTTTGGTTCCGGCTCAATCACGGATCAGTGAAGAAGCGCTAGTCACATATGATCAATTTTCTTCATACATTTTTAAGCCGTCATTGGGAGTAGAAAGTTTAAAAAACCCAAGAGAAGATACCTCCCGTATACAATATTATCGTGCCAAAAATAACTACAAAAGTTATTTCCCCTAAGTTCACGGGATGAAAAAGCGGGAAATTGCTCCGAAAAAGAATATTACGAACAGTATGTTTCAAGATTTCAGCTAATTTCAAATAATGAAGAGCCGTAGTCCGATAATCAGATAAGAGAGATTGATAATAGGTCATCTCGAAGAAAAATCAATACCAGTGATGTGAGAATGGGGTAGTGCTAATTAACGTGCTTGCATCGCGACCTCTACCCTTGTGATACATTCAAATATTTATTTGCAGAAAAAAACCTACATTAAAAAAATTAATTTAAAATTTTGAGCCATCAGCGTCGAAATTATAGTATTTTTAAAATTTCACCACCAATAATCGATCTTAAGCGTCGTAAAATTGATTTAATTTAAAAGTTAGAAACCATGAGATCAGCTTCCATCAAAGCACATCCTAATCTACGGAATGTTAATTTCCACCATTGAGTACTTCAAATGTATAAGAGACGTCAAATTGAAATAACTGGCATAGATATAGGATTCTCTTCTTGCGAAAGCAGAGTGTCTACTAAAATAGGCTGGCCAAAAAATCAGTACTTTTACAGTGCTTTCTCAGTACATTCCCAAGAAATTTAGTACCTCCTCAACAGAAAAATTCAGCACTTTTCCAATACCTCCATTTCAGAAAATTAGAAAAAGTGCGAAAATTTGAAATTCCCGCTCGAATTGCGACAAAAATAACGTAACCACAAAATTTCATTGTTGGCTTGACGAGTAACTGCCTGCACAATCGCAATCTTGTACGCAAATACTACTCTAAGACTCTACGCGCAGGGGATGACACGCTTTCCAGGCTGTATTGAAAAATGAAGTCAATCAATGAAAAGGCCATTTCGAGCCCCTTGATCGCCGATGATGAAAAACCAAGAGTGAAGCGAACGGTCTTTTTCACCATAGCGGCTGATGAAAGAATCGCAAGCTGCAAGTGGTTTTCGGAATTCATTAATTTAAATCTATAATTTTTTCGCAAATTTTGGCACGTTATGTTGACCGAAGACATAAAAATTAAAGCATGTGCGAATCTCCCGGTTTCTATGAAATGAATGGTATACCTGTATTTTCTGAGCGAAGCCTGGAGACAAAACAGCCTCAAAAATGACTGCATCGGCGCTTCAGTACATTGCGACTCTTGTACTCTATGAAAGGTTGTTAGGTGCAAAGACAAGAAATTGCAGAATTTCTGCTCTTTTTTAGTACTCTCAGACCGCCCATAAAATATCACAACTACTCTAGGACTCTCCGAAAATTCCAGACCAGTAGACACCGCAACGTGGAGAGCAATCTATCCTAAAGTGAAAGTAGACACTTGTGCGGGGTGCTCGTATTTTAAGGGCGTTTTAAATCACCCATGCGTGATTGATCGCGCCAGGTACCAAAAACAATGTAATTATTTCTCTTAATAATTGGAAATCCGACACTGCGCACCCGAATACGTATTTAACCGGGGTTCGGGACAAAGTGCTTAAATGTCACAGGAGTGCGGAGTTTTTGGATATTGCGTCGGGCAAGTGGTCCCGTACTCCCGTAACTTGAGCGGTGAATCGCTGCGAAACAACCATGGTCAATGCTACTTGAGAAGCTTGCAGTCGATGTACAGATATATATATTTCCAAAGGTGAAATTAGAGGGACCACCGTGCCCTCTCATTAACACCTTCCAACCTGTAAATTTTGTGCAAATATTGAATTCAACGGATGTCAATCTAATTTGGCTGCGGACCATTTTCTTGCAGAGAGAAAAGTCCACGGGCCAGAGGCAAAATCTGAGCGAATTTTTTATTTATCTCCATCCCTCCTCTTCCTCCCCCGCCCCCTTCCTCCTCTCACTCCCTCCCTTCTTTTTCATTTTCATTCTACAGCGTATTACAGTTTGAACAGATTTCAAAGATCAAATAAAAACCCACTAACTGATCAGTGATTTGCCAGAACTGGTAAACGTTGTTTCTTTCCGCAAAGAATGGACGTCGCTTTTTGTTTCGGACCAAATTCGAGAAACGTTTGATAATTGCTTGCGGACTCGTTTAAATCGCTCGGTTATAGTAAAATCGGCGCGGTATTTGACCAAAAAAGGTCTCTGTGAAGATTTTATTTCGATTTCTGGAATTCCCAGGTTCCGCTCACGTTTATAAAAAAATGTACCTACCAATTCAAGTGATGTCTGGGATTATCTTCAAGAATATTACTAGAAATTTGTGTAGGAAATTGACGGAAAATATCCTTGAAAAAAAAAGATTGTATTTCCTTATAACGTCCCAATTCTTGAGCTTTCCCTGAAGAATCGCTGTTTTCGTAAGATGTCTTCATTTACGAAATCCTGAGATAACTGTATAAATAACGCCAAAATGAGCGGAATAATTGAAAATAAATAAAAAGAAGAAAAAAAACAAGCATGACAATACAGTATCTACGGAAATTTCCCGATCGATAGCCCGTCTACACACTATTAAATTGGTAAATGTGATTCAATAGCAAAAAGGTTGAATCGACGTTTTTTTAAAATAATAAGAGGCTTTGGCTTTTGGGAGGGACCATGAATAGAATGTAATATTTTTAGGGGGAATCAGTAATTCGCCGCTTGGATTCCCAGATTGTGAGTTTTTCTAGTTTTCCAATAGGATGTTCATTCCCTGAGCATTCCAGGTTCTTCCAGGGGGAGGAACCTTGAAAGCAGGCAAAACTCGCGCGAAATTAATTAGACGCGGTAAAGATGATGAGTCATTCTCGATCAAAGTAAAATGTGCCAAAAACCTAAAACGCGACGTCGCGGGCCAAAATTCACGCTTTCACGGTATACTACCCTTGTACATTGCCACAGTCGAACATTTTTTTTTAGAAACTAACGCTGCACGGTGATTATTGAAATCTCCTCATAGGCTTAGCGGCAACGCTTAAAAAGGTGTGGTCAATTGATCATGAACTCTGAGCATGACCCTTCTCGTCCTTGACGTTCGGTCTCTGGTCCCTACGGAACTTATTACTCCCCAATTTA